TTCACCCACCCATGGTGATATGAACTACAGCCTGGACATTACATAAGAGCTGTCACACGGAACGACGGCAGGCAGTGTTCTGCATCATTTGGGTGATCGTGGCTTTTGCTCAAACATTTTCCCCGAATGCTACGTAATGTGCCCTTGGAGGCCAGGCATGTAGACATGGAAAGCGGATCATGGCAAGGGTAACCGAACGGAGACTGGGTGACATGTGACGCAGGTAGCTGAACTGGGGCGGCTTCACTTCACTGGGCATGGAATGGCTGGCCGGGTGCCACCTGCATCCAAAGAGCGTGTAATGGACTTGTCAGAACTCCTTGCAAGTACAAGAAAAGAGTCTGTAAAAATGCACCTCTTGCCCCCACCCCCCCAATCCGCCCCATCTTCCCTCCTATCCCGAGGAAGGGGATGTCTTTGCAGACTTACCTACCACAGCCAAGAAGAGGGACCGTGTCGATTCACTCCACTTATTTTCAGTTTGGAACTACTGGATTCATCAACAGGAACAAACAGATGTAGAACAGAATATAACTACTATGTTACAGCCATGAAAGGACTGTGAAAAAAACACTCAGACTATTCAGCAGAGCCCATAATTCATCAATGTAAACATCTACAGAACACTTCCCAAGTTATTCATTCACACCTGCCAATAATATTATCAGGAGACCAAAAAACTCAAGATGAATGAAAACTAGCTAAGTATGGTGACCTATAAGAAGGCATTTTCAAAAGCCAGTTTGCTTATACAAATTAAAACATAAATGTCCCTCAAGAATCTGACCTGAGCTCCTGCATGCTTTTGAGAAAGTCATAGCCTGGAGATGCCAACCTTCTGGGGTGTGTGTGTGGGTCAGCAGGTGGGAGCCCAGCACAGCTGCGTACTGCCACCTGTGTGACCTTAATTAAGCCCTATATTATAGCCCCGAGCTTCCAGTGGAAAAATGAGGGCATCAATGTCCAGCACATGACAGAACCTGTTTCTGCAGCTTCCTTCTCCTGTGTCCTTCATTCTTTCCCCCATCTAATAACTGTTTAAAAATCGAAGCCAGATCCAGAACGTACCCTTTGGCAAAAGACAGAGTCCGGCCTGCCTGATCATTGCACACACAAACCCACTGATTCACACTGCAAAGAGAAGTTACAGTCACTGATTCACCTGAACAGCATGTCCTGGGAATGTAAGAGGAAACTTAGATTACCCAGAGGAGAACATGCCGTCCCTCATTTACACTTTTACCAACACCAAGCAATGGGCCTCAATCAGGCATGGAAATTAGGAGCAGGATCACAAAGGGACCATATGTCCTCTGTGTTATGGGTGAACATCCAAGAAAGGCAGACAAGCAAGGACAAGACCCATCTGATGCTGGGGTGGGTTGAACTCATGAACAGGTTTGCAGCAAGGAACCTGCACAAAAAATAGTCATCATTCACCAACACTATAATGTAGAAATTCCACTAAAGTAATCATCCCATGGTCAATCAATCCAATTTCAAAACATTATTTTATTAGAATAATATTTTTTTAATCCAGTTGTATATGACTTTGTGAATTGAGAAATTATTCCCTGACATCATACAGGGAATGTTACAATAAAATGTAAAATTAAATTATACCGCAAAGCTAAATTGTGCAAGCACAACCTACTACCTCTCTTCATATACATCTATCATTTTTAAAGATATGACTCAGTGGTACCTTTATACCCCATTCTGAGTGCGAATCTGATTGGAAGACCAAGGGATGACAAGTCAGTTTCGCAAGTGACTCACAACATTACCCTGACATCTGACATCATGGCATCATCATGAGCATTTTCTAGACCGGAACTTTTAAAGAAACTGCCCCAACATTGACCCTTTTCTGGTCCATCATTCCACAGATGGCATATCTGAGACTCCCCCCCCTTTCAAGAGGCATGCACATTGTTTGGTGTTTGTTACCATGTCGTATGTGTAAGAGGATAAACAGCTGTCCACCTGCACCTGAAAGCTTGTCACTATGGAGTTTCGCTGCTTCAACCAACTAAAATGCAAACAACAAAAAGAATTTGATTTCGTTTTATTTTCTGCTGAATGCTGTGCCCATAGGCGATAGCTCCTATGTCTACTCATTTATTGATCAAACAAATAACTTATACTAATCATTATAAAACAAATTATTAACTATTTCAGAGGATAAGTAATCTTAGTGTTTATTAGACCCAAGTGTACCTTAAAACAATATTTCTGACATTTACAACCAAACTGCATTCTCAGTGGGCAGCTCATTCTGTTTATGACAAAGGCAACCAAACAGGGCTTAGAGACACTAAACAGACAACAGAAAATAAGACAATAAGACAACTTCTGTTGCTTCTCATGTGCAATACGTATGGATTAAAATGAAATAACTATTTCTTGGGCAATAATTACAAATTATTAGGTGACAAACGACTAACATTAATACAAGATGTATACAAATTATATATACAGATATTTGTATATTATCTGAACCAGACTGTCTTCATTTTAATTTGTTTTTCCTTTTCTGGGTATGCGAGGTGACACCATTCGTCATATTTTCTATTATCTATTAATCTTGATCACTCTCTTTTGGTCACTGTGAACTTCATTCAAGCAGATAGCGGTGATTCAAAACCAATTTATTTTGGGCAGGCCTGTTCTTAGACCATTTTCTCTGTGGTTTGGCTCTCATTGACCTCAGGATATCCATTTTGGACTAACCCAAACATTGGAGAGCCAATAAGCTCTTACAGTCATGTCAATTCAGGAGAGCCATGAATCAGAGTCCTTACAAAGCATGTGAAATTACACCACATTTTGAGGAAATGTGCATTTTTGCCATTTTTAAATGTGATTTTCTGTTTACAAGCGGCTTGGTGGGTAGTGCTGTTGCCTCTCCCAAGACTGCGACCCCAGCTCCATCTATGTAGAATCTGCATGTTCTCCCCATGCAAGCACGGATTTCTGACCTCAAATTCCGACAAAGCTCAAGTTCCAAAGATACATAAATGTCAGATACACTATATAGGTAAAAGTTATATTCTGCGTTTTCCATTTCATCGTTGCTTTACTGGAAGAATCAGATGGAGGACTTCCATTTCCAAAAGTAGATACATTGTACATTGGCAGATATAAGTCTTTACACTTGGCTGTTTTTCACCATCTCCTGCACCACTGTTCCTGCCTATTTCCCCTCAAGTCAGAACATAGCAGAGCTCCTTCTAAGCTGAGAAGGGCCAAAAGTACCATCATAAAATGAAGACATCGCACAATGGATAAGAACACAAAACATCAAGAGCGTGCTCCCAGTCCTGTGAGAGCATCTGTGAGGTCCTCACTGGGTTCGTTCTAACAGCTGCTTCAGCAGTGCTATTCTGGGCCAGCAGCCCTAACAAGCTTGACCGCTGTTTGGCACTGTTACTGGATATAACTTTGGGTTTCTGGCCACTTCTTGATGGATCTGATGATTAATTAATTGCGCATTGGCATGTGACACTACCTCACTAGCTGAAGTAGCGGCGTATTTGTTGATCCCGATCGGGTCACAATCTGCACCTCTTATGTGTCACTACCTGTGTGTTCCCTTGCGAAAAAATTACATTCTGGAGAGTTTGTCTGGCTGGAAAAGTCAACTCACACAACACGTTTAAAAGGATGGCTTTGCCATTGAACTGGAACCGTGAAACAAAGGCGAAAGGAGCCAGGGCTCGTTGTTCGGTGATGTGATCATCGCTGTTTACAAGATATAAAAAATTATAATGAATAGATGACGATGAAAGGTATTAATAATAAACAGAAAACCTTTTGAATAAAGTCTGAGCGGAGGTTCGATGATGTAACTGTCTTTGAATTTCATTCGGTTTGGAAAGACTTAATCATGGACAAAATTACAAACAACTTGTGATGGGAATGTGTTCAGAAAAATAGAGAAACAAATGAACTTTTCTCTTCCCCCTTAATTGTTCTAGTCACTTATAGCCATAGTCAAGGCCTATTAAGTGCCTTGCAATGTAGTTAATGTAATACATAATGTCTGCCTTTGCACTGCATAAGCATTAGCTCATGATCCATCTAGCCAATATCCAGCCATTTTCAGCTTGAATTTGTGCATTATAACAAAGGATTTTAACAGACCATTACTTTTCCAAGCGCTGCAGCGTCTTATCACCTTGTCTAGTTTGGATGGTTCTTGATGGCTTTATTACAGGTGACTGCAAAACGTGGTACACACTAATTTAATTTCCTTTGGTTGAAGCACGATCATGGAGAAAAAGTAAAATACAAAAAAGGGCAGGAATGAGCCTTTGATTGTCAGGAATAGTGCATTCCCTCTCAGTCCTTTATCGATATGATACACCCTCACTGGTTACTCATGATTTTTTTTGGGTTACAGACAGTGACAATATCATCTGTTTTCGGTTTTGAATCCTGCATTTATCTTGATGCTAGATGAAATTCCCATTTAACATGTAAGTCAAATAACAGAAAAGCAATTTGTTTAGAGGGTATCCCTTGCTCTACAGCACTACAGAGAACAAGATAAGTGCAGTGCAATAAAAAATTCCAGAAGGTTGCCTTTCAGTACCCTTAACGTGCTAAGAAAGCCGCAAAAAAAAATCCATAGTCGTCGCAATTTATTCTTTTAAGTTCCAACATGTCCAGCCAACGCCATATTATGATGAACTATACTGACAAACCTCATGGTGGGAAATGAGGTAACAGGGATGGAGGATGGAAGGCTAGATAGCAAACCCCAGGTGAAATCCCCAGACTGACTACATAAAACAGGGCAAAGGAGCAGGCAAAGTGCATCACTGACCGCAAAATACAGATGAACACACACCACACATAAATAATATTTGAAGTGGGAAAAAAACACTATGGGGTGGTGTAAAAAATAACGGAAAAATAAAGAGGACAAACTCAAGCAATGGCCTAATTTATTTTGAGATGTGGCAGACATTTGGCTTTATTCCTTCCTCCAACAGTAACTGTGGAAGGGCGAGCGAAAAGGAAGCAGGTGAACTGTAGGTGAAAAAGCAGAGTGCAGCTTCACAAACGGTAAGTTTGTGAGAGCAAACGGCATGGAGACACGAAGAAGCAGAAGGGTAGGGTGCAGGAAGCATGTGCAACCAGTAAATAGCGGCAAATACCTGAAAGCCTTCAGTAGTCCACAGGCTTAACACATGTTTATTTTTTGAGTGCAGGTCTTCATGCACGTATGAGTTTGTACTTAGTATTTATGAGCACTCTTTTAGAAATGAGGGAGAAGAAAAATATCGATGCCAGAAACAGACTGAAATACTTTCCTCCCAGTGTGTACTGGGTTGGATTTCCCACTTTCGATTCTTCCACCCTGGCTGGAAAGTTCCCCCCCATCCAGGCAGGCGACACACGCAAGGAGAGGTCAGAGGTCACCTTGGAGCAGAATAAAAACATGAAACAGAAGTAGTACGTCAAGTGCAATTATAGGCATCCATTCTTGACCCTGCTATGTTAAACCAGACATTCCTTATCATTAGGAGTGTGTGGAAAATTTGGTGGAATGTACCAACAGAAGCGAGCCCCACAGGGGGAGCTCAGATGAATACAGGCCCCTTCCCCAGCCATAGCTTGTGAGTTCCTCCTCGTTAGGGAGAGATGGGAGGTGGGGGCTGCAAGTGTTTTTGCAAACAACAAGCTTGTCACCCAAGCTTCAGATTCAGTCAGCACAAAGACTTGTGACATGGATAAGTGAAGGCAGGTTGCATAATGACCAGGTGGTCCAAGTTGTGATGCTTTTGTTTCTTTATAACCATGTGTGACACTGCATGTTTGTATATAAGTGTGTCTGAGAAAGAGCAAGAGAGTGACAAAAAATAGAGGGCAGACTTTCAATATTTAGCAGTAGGAATTGCTACTTTCACTACAATGATATTGACATCGGTTGCCAGATGCAACCCAAGTCATCATCTCCCTGACTCGCCACATAATCATAATTCAGTTATAGAGTCTGTATTAAAATGATCATCCCAGAACACTAGGGCTTCTTTAGTATGTCCCTTTACACCTTCAAACTTCACTTAGACCTTGAAAGATGTGAGCCTGTCTGGTATGTGAAGCTCAGACACACACACACAAACACACACACACACACACACACACACACACACACTAAAAACACAATGCCTTGACCTTTCTGTATTGCCCAGGGCTACTTTTTAGATTAAGTATATCAATTTTCCAACGGCTTACCTTAAGGCACGAGCATGCCTCAATGTATGAAACACATTTCCAACAACGTGGTTAGCCCACTTACGGAGTCTGTTAACATTGGGCTGCAGCAGGGTCAAAATTAACAAAACGTACAAAAATCGCAAATGTTACACTCTCTGCATCTGCTTGTAGTCAGTTAACATGGTAAAATGGCTCCCGTAATTGAAAACAAACAAGAAAAGAAAACAGACTCCACCTTAAACAACTGTACCTTGTTACATAAGAGCATACTGCTTCCCTCTGGGACTTAGTGCGGTTTCACCAGCCAAAATGTTTCCATGTCAACCGCCAGTGCTCTAGTTGCTGACATCAGTGCACCACTGTCACCTGTGGCTGACAACGGCTCAGAGCAGCCGACAAACACAACCTGCGGTCGACATTCTTGCGCCCTCCGCATCCCCCCCTCCTCCACACACACAGTGGCCCCTAGAAATTTGCCTTTGGTGTTTGAAGGTGTTTCATTTAGCTTATACAGCCAGTTCTTTATTGTCTGCAAGGAGCCCACCCCATCACAGTTAATATATGTAACATACAGCATACAGGCTAAAGATATACCTTTTGACTGTAAGTGCTGTTAAACCTGAGGGAAGTCTGGGCACAAAGAAATTGTTTCAATTTAAATCCTGTTCATTTATCCCAAACTGGTCTCAAGAGTGACAAAACACCAAACACTTTGCAAAAGAAATCCAGATAAAATAACACCCAGGCTAGCATCAACATGCATGAGAAGAAAAGTACTAAATCTTAATTTTTAGAGAGATGTGTAGTTCAAATGGGTAATTATTTTGTTTGAGGTCGATAAGGGGAAGAGTAACTCATACAGCACTGGGCCAAACTATGAAAACTAGTGAAGAAATGAGAGAAAACATTACATTACTACAGTGACAGTACATATATCTCCTCCATTTTTGGTTGACTGTCTGTCTGTTGTTGCTTCACTTTCCATTGTACATTTTTCACTGACAGGTCTACGTTCTTCTAGTGAACTTCATAACACTACAGAATAATGCTGCATTCCATTTGCCCTCGGAACTCGGATTCCAAGTCGGATTCCGAGTTTCGAAGCGGGAAGTGATGACATGCGCGCTCCCGTTTCTCGGAGGTCCGAGAAATATCTCGGACAACACAGAGGATCCCGAGTTCAGAATCCAAGATGGCTGCGCCCTTTATCAACAGAAGGGAAAGTTGTAGTTTTATCCTTTTTAAGCACTACTTCTCATTTGTGGCTCATTAAATCGGTCGCACACACTATACCGTCCAAGTTATCTGTGGACGTGTTGCTACAGAGTTTTATATGTGAAGCACCGCGCGTAATGTGTTATCAAGTGATATTGCTAACAATGGCTACCAATTAACCGGTCTGGAATTGGATTTCATGATTAGTCGGATTATTTGTCAGATTTAAGGTAGTTCGAGCTAATTGTAAGTGAACGAAGATAAAGGCCATTTAAACTGAGGTACCTTAAATCCGACAAGTTGTCCGGCTAAGCAAAAAATCTTGCTTTTTCATATGGGTCCATGGTATTGCTACTTCTGTGGCAAATGGAACGCATCTGACTCGGTTTTCCCGAGTTTTTAGCGGATGTGACGTAATATCGGAATCCGAAAATCGGATCCCAAGGCAAATGGAATGCAGCATAAGCCTTGCTACCGTAAAGCCTAAAGCATGAAGTAATGACACTAGTCCTGGGAAGGCTGCATGAGAATTACCAGATAAAGACGTAAAATCTTCACAAGTTAGATTATGCTTTGGGGGACCTTTCCCTTTGCCTGTTCATGCTCTCTAGGGCACTTCTTTAATGTGCATCAAAAGGACCTTTCTTGGGTTTCTCCTTACAGGGACAACTGAAAGGGCAGTCCTGGACAGAATGAGCTTCCAGAAATCCGAATACACGTCTGTCCTTCAATCTGACAAACATAAAGGAAAAAGACAGCGATACATGCAGAGGGATGGCAGCTGTGACCTGAGGTTCAGCCATGTGCCGGGAGAGTGGAGTCTGTACATTACGGACATCTTCACCACCCTGGTGGAGATCCGGTGGCGGGTCATGCTCCTGACTTTCACCCTCTCGTACATCCTATCCTGGCTCTTTTTTGGGCTGATATACTGGGTAATCGCGCTGATCCATGGCGATGTAAAGGACCCATCTCAGGAACCTTGCATGTACAATGTGCACAGCTTCACAGCGGCCTTCCTCTTCTCCCTGGAGACCCAGACCACCATTGGCTACGGTTTCCGTGGCATGGCTGAGAACTGCATGGTGGCTATTGTGGTTGTGACTGTGCATGACGTCCTCAGCTGCCTCATTGACACGTTCATCATTGGCATCGCCGTGGCTAAGATGGCGTCAGCACGTAAACGGGCACAGACGGTGGGCTTCAGTAGCTGTGCCGTAGTTAATCTACGCGACAACATGATGTGCCTGTCCTGGCGTGTGGGCGATTTCCGGCCAAACCACATGGTGGAGGGCACCGCCCGGGCCCAGATTGTCCAACACGCAAAACACCAAACGGGCAGAGTCACAGTGTCCTACCAAGACCTGGACATACAATACAGTGACATCATCCTGGCCACACCAGTCACAATCATTCACCAAATCAAACCTGCCAGCCCTCTATACAGCCTGAGCCCGCAAGACCTGCAGAACATGAACTTTGAGCTAGTCGTGTCCTTCACCTACACCAGTGACTCTACAGGGATACTGCACCAGACACGCACTTCCTACACCCCTGCAGAAATCCGATGGGGCCATAGGTTCCAGGACATGCTGAGAGTAAAGAGAAAATTCTACAAGGTTGACTACTCACTCTTCCACCAGATCACCAGAACACTGGTGCCAGAGATCAGTGCTGAGGAGTATGACAGGAAGATAGAGAAGCTGACTGACAGTTCAAATCATGAGCTGCAGAACAATGAAACTCAAAGCGTAGGAGCTGCTGTCCTCAACAACCAGACTACGGAGGCTACTGGGGTCACTGCCACCACTGAATCCACTGCTAATGCAGGCATGGTAGATCAGCCTTAGTGCACGTGCATGAAAATCACAAACAACCGCAAAATGGCCCAACAAAGAACAGCAGTACTTGTGAAGCTTTTAGGAAGCCACATAGCAACATAGCTCAGTGAAAAAATATAACATCATCAAATATTCATATTCTAGACGCAGTGCGAACATTGGCTTAATCTTAATTCTAAGTACTGCATAGCAGAATCTACATAATAAACCTTAGCACTATTTTAAAGGTGAAAAGTGATGTAATATTTGGAGGAGCATACTGTTCAGTGATTTCACTAACAGGAGTAAAAGCAGATGAGTGTCAGCTGTAGGTTGGGTTTTCCCATTTTGCGCAAGTGTATTATACAAGGATTTTCCTCCAGTGCGTAGAAGTCGACACATTAGGTTATTACACAGTGCCCTGGGATCATTATCTTGGTTTGTCTATCTACATTATTTTTATTCGATCCACTGTGAATGCATTCAGCTGGTGATGCTTCGATACAACAAGTAATTCTTCCTGCAGATCTTAAAACCTTTCTCAAACCATTCTTCAAACCTTATTTTATGCTTCCTGTTATTATGACTAAATATATTCCAGAGCTTCTGCAACATATAATGGGATATTGGCATGGTTTAGTATAAACTCAATACATAATTTATGGCTAATATTAAGAATGAAAACATGCCAGGTGGCCTCACAATACCAGAATGACCCAGAAAGTAATTTCATATTTATACAGAAAGGTACCTTCCCCAAGAGTCCTTCATGGGATTTTGACTTGCAGTTATTTATAATATCAGACTTTAGTTAGACACAATACACAATACTGCTATTATTAAATTTAAAACCTCACCAATTTTTTTTCCTCCAACGAATGCTGGCTTACCCATACTAGAAATACAAACCAGTTCAACAAACCAGTCAGATTAAAAATATGTGAGGAAGTCACTGACATTCAGCTACACGTTCATATCCTCTGAGTTCATAGATCAAATCATTTCAACATATGTATAATGAATGATAATGCATTTTCTACAAACACCTCGTTAAATAGATAAGCTTGAGCCACACACATACCCACGAAACAAGACAAGTGACAAAACCTAGAGTCCCTATCCAGAGTGTGCCCCTACCGTGTGCCCTGTAGTGGACTGGCACCCTATCCAGAGTGTGCCCCTACCATGTGCCCTTTACTGGTTGGAAGCTGGATAGATGGATATCTTGTTGCAAATCTTTTTAGCAATTGCCATTCTTTTGCTTTACTCAGACTTTACAGAATAATCTTTAATTATATCAGAACGCAGCAACGTGTCCTGGAGTAACCACTTAGATCTGCAGTCTGCAATATAATCCATAATGGCCAGACTACACACTATAGTTGAGTGTGCTGTATAGTACCATATAAGGTGGTAGGTCAGCATTAAGGTAGAGTAATAGGAAGTTTTCTCTCGGGCGTTTATCACTTTATCTTTCACAAGTAAACAAAATGGAGCCTATGTGACTGTATTTTTTTCAGGCATTTTAATAATAAGCTCAATCCAGCACGACACGTTTTGTGTATGCCCCTACTACACCGACTGATGCTCCGCGCATCATATAATAAGATCAGTATTATTCTCATACATGCGGACCCTCTTTGCAGCTATTAAGTTTCTAGCTCGCCATCTTGTGGTCCGTAACCAGCATGATCTGCATCTACTACGGCTTTTTCCAATGGCAAGGAAAATCTAATTTCAGGAACTTCAAGACGGCCAATTCACACAGCTTGTCCGGACTAAAAATAATCTCTTTTATTTATAGTAGGGACTAAACGGTAACAAAAGAAAAAAATCACCCAGGATAAGTGTAGCGAAAGGGGGCACGCCATGGCCACTGAAATTCCCAGCTACGGCTAGTTGGACAGGACCTGCTACTGCTACGCGTGACAAATAATAAACTTTCTTTCTAATGGATACCCGATTGCGAAAGGAATCAGAAATATGGACGTGTAGTTCAAGTCCGGAAACAGCTTCAAAGTGTGCTGGAAACCTATGAAAATCCATCGGTTAAATAAATGAATCGGGTAAATTACTACGAAATACATGGATGGAGTCGATGTATATGTATCAAATAATTGAATTCTCGAAATCTCTGTATATATAGCCTACTAATGATACTGTTTTTATTTCTCACACTTGTATTATGTGTCAATTCTTAACCTACGACTTCTTTCGGACCTCCAAGCGTACCCCAGGATTTTCCACTTTGTTACTTTGTTCAATAAATACGATTTAACATTTTTCTTCGTTAAGCACCAACCCGGAAAATGCACGAATATTTCCATAGGATACTTCTTCTGAGTATTACAAAAAAAAACACTTCCTGTACTAGATGAATGTAAGTCCGGGAAAGTTGTCGTGTAAGTTTTGAATGCGCAGGTATTCTATAAATTACGCCAAACTTACTGTCCCTGTACATTTATTTCGATGCACCATGCATTCGACACGAGGCTAATTAGCGCCCGTTTGCTTATCCAGATGGAAAAGAAGACCCGAACTGATGTTCACTTTATTTGAGCGTTTGCTTAATGAATCAACATGTTACTTACGTGCTAAATTTACTACAGACAAGAGATCGGAATGGCAAAAAAAATCCACTTTCAGATTAACTATGTCGTGTCGGCAAATTGTGATACTTTGCAACTTATTCTAATGGAATCATAAGGAGTACATTTTCCATGAGTTTCGGCGAGTTCCATGAGTTTATTCAATTTCGCTGTAATTGCATTTGGAGGTATTCATAAATTTGTTCGGAGGTGCCGCCTCTTTCGAGATGGGAGTAAAAGATGGGGACAGAACTATATCTGTTCAGATGTCACACGTGGAAATTTATAAATGAGGTCGCTACTGTCGTCGTAACGGTTCATTACGAGTGAATTAAAATCGCCACTAATTTATGTCTAGAGAATGATTTTTTTTTTGTTGCTTATAAAACATTAGAAAGTTCGTCAAAATGAAAACTTAAACCTGTCTGATAGCTCTGGACTGTCGGAAGTAGGTTACGTTAATATAAATCAATCAACAACATATCACTATGTAATCGGGCAATGAGATTCTTGTAGATGTAATTAATTAAAATTTCATGAACGAGTGGTGCCGGGGCACGTCTCCGCGTGACACATTCAATGCGATGGAAATCAGAAAAAGTTAATCAATCAGTGTAATGTGATAATACTTGGTGTCAAACAATTTTCCTCAATAAACTCTTGGGGTTTGTCAACGGTAGTGAGACGGGCATTTTCCGTCTCGACTTACTGCTGTAAAAAAAAAGCTAGGAGTTTTGTTTATTTTTCTTGGATGTGCACTTAAAGCATCTGTTCATTTCCCTGTGTGCCACACGCTTGAGCTGAGTTCACCAACAGTCTGCGCTCAGCTTTACCCTTCGGCGATTTGTTTGGCCCGTTGACGACATGGGGGCGGAGAGCGCCGGTACGAGCTATTTAAAATGCTTTGGCGAAACTGCAGGCTTAACCATACTCAGTCATCGGCCCAGCATTTGCGGGTTTCGGTGTTCGAAGTCATAACAGAAGCATTTACGTAGAGAAGAACCGAACTCGGAGCCCAGAACGACAGTTGGATATTCAAGACATTTTACGCCCGGGAATATATTGGAACAAACTGGTACACATTTTGCATCCCAATGAGCAACAGGTAAGGATTACTCAACAACTTCATGTGAAGTTATTGAAATTAACAGCGGACAGCCATGAAGAGACATGTTAAGGTCTAAATCAGGGTAGTTTACATTAATTACTTAAAGACTGTAGAAATGAAGGTGTAATCTCCAGCAATCTTTGACACTTTATATCCAAAAATCAAACATATATGTATTATCTACGGATGTGCATCTCCATTACTGTGGCTGATGCCATACACATTTCCGTGCTTTGCCAACGGTCCGTTATATTAGAGATACATATATGAGGCAACTACAAACGCGATATATGATTCACCCATATTGCGACGCAGTGCGATTCGACACGATTTGATTCAACGCGATACGATGCGATGCAAAAGAATATGAAATCTACGAAAATCAACCTGGTACAGACACAGAAAGTTCTGAGACAGGGAATCAATTTAAGTATAAAAATATTAGTTCAAATAAATTTGTCACAATTCTAAATAAAGGCACACGATACTTACTAATAATCACATATTAATAATAACCCTGTACACACTTTTTAAATCGGGGCAATCATATGGTGAACTTTTACGCCGGTGCACCAATGCGATTCAGTGAATCTTACCATCCCTAATGTCATCTTAGTGTAAACTAGGACCTACATAACAAATACAATTAAATCAGTGTCTTGAAATTTCAGAAAATTAAATTAGATTGTACTTTGCACGTTAACATACTAAAACACGATTCATGTTAATGCTTTATGAAGTAAGGCTGAACTCGCAAAACGGTATAGCATAAACTACAGTTATGGCGGAGCAGTTTCTGTAGCCAAAAACAGCGTTATCCAGACAGAATTTAGGGACTTTGTCTGGCTGAAACTTTACTACGAGAACTGGAACACTGAAATTTTACTACAAACACTTCTTTCTATTTCAGATCTCAACTATAGTTAAAATTATTTGTAAATATTGGCTTAGCTATCAATTAATTAAAACTCGATAATGCTAACAACAGATTTAACTGCTCGCTGTAGATTTCCATTCATGCTTCCTTAAAGGTCAATGGAAAATATTTATTTCGTCTCATTTTACACCTGTTCCCTAGCTCCGTGCGCAATGAATGGTGCTTCTGGTGCAGATCAAGCTAACGTAACCAGTAACTTACTGCTGCTTTACTGAGAAAACAATTTGACGCGAACAGGGTCAGAATAAGGCAGCCTAGTATATGCTTATCCATCTTCGCATATAATGTGTACCTCGCTTAATTAAACAGTAACAGCGTTCTTAGTAGATTATATTAGGCCTATAACTGAAGAAAACTTTGAGCAATAAGTAACGCCGCTTTTCCTTAGAGGTACGCGTGTGTTTTTCTCCCAGTAATGAATTCCCCGAGATCCACAGGCATCCGCAGCAGCGGGTAACATATCTTCGTTTAGGGACGACAGTTACAGTCGTACGACATCCAAGATCTAGTTTTGTATAGTATATTCGGCATGCCAGTTTTACTGTCCGGATACCCTCTCAGGCTGACGTCTTGATGACTGTTTTATACACATCTGATAAACCCTTACGAACTGAACCCTCAAACAAAAAAAAAACATTATGAAAGTCGTTCATCAAATAAATACAAATACAACATTCAATTTTTAAGAAAGCGAGCTTCATTCCAGCGCACTTCGTCAGTATCGATAATGAAACCGCAGAAGTTCCACTTGATACAGGGAAGTGGATGTCATATCTACACTTAATGTAGGCAGCGAAGCATACGCAGTTTTAAAGGAATTGCAAGTTAACTGCAGAGTCCATTTGGACTCAAATTGGTGCAGGTTGATTTTGGCGACTGTAAAAATGACCCTAATTTGTAATGCATATCGGGAAGGTTGTATGGAGACCGTCAAACTCTTGACTTAGCAAAGTACTACTCAGCCATACTGGAGCGAGTTACAGTGAAGTGATCCGTTTTGACACATCAGCTAACGGGGCTGGCCGGTCAGAAACGCTACACTAATATCTTTATGCCACAGTTAAGGACATATTTACATATAACTACAATAAGAACTGCTCTCCAGTTTAAACATTAGACAGTTACACTGGTCAGCTAAGCTGTGATTAGAAAAGATCTCTCTGTAACACTTTCTCCACCTGTGCTGATTTCTGTAGAATTAAAAGGCCTTTCACAAGATCATAAAAAAACTGCTGCCCGGATGGAAGTATCACCTGTGCTGTACCTTGGAGGTAGCTGGTAGGGTGTTCACCACCAGGGTGTGTCTGCTGCCTTCCACGGCGGATCGACAGGGCCTGTGTGGCGGCATGGCAGAAACACACATTACTTGAAGCAATGGCATCTTTGGATAATTGTGCAGAAAAACAGTGAGCATCACAGCAGTACTACAAGCTACAAACAACATATTGAGAGAGTCACTTCAGCATCTCTCATTTTAGTGTTGAAACACCTTACAATGGAATGTCTTTCACAACTGTTGTTGAAGGGTTCACTACCAAGTGTGATTTTTTAAAAAACACATATGTTTGTTGCTAGGACAGTAGGAGACGTGCAGTGTAAGAGGTGGCTGATTTTAATGAGTTCTGTAGCACCAGAGAGAATCCTCACTGGGACCACCATTCTGCTGCTGTGATGATTCGAGGTCCCAGCAGACCCACTCTTAGTCAACAAGGTCTGCACTGTCTCAAGCACAAACTAAGGAGAAAGACTACTATCATTAAAAAAAAACAAAAGACATTTTAAATTTGTGCCCTGGATTTGTTCTTTTTAAGAATCCCAGAACCTATTTATGTCCCATAGGGTCCATTCTTCTAGCAAAAGTCTTAAATGAACAATGGAGTTATTAGTTGAAAAAAAATATTGTGTTTTCATAATTTGTCGATCACACTTAGTCAATTCATATTATAAGCAAAGTGACATTTAATTACTGGGGATCAAAGATAACAAACTACTGGACTTAGCAGACTGACCTAATTCTTGTGGGTCTTTAGAAAGCGCTGGGGGTGGGGGGGGGGCACATAAGTCACATTGCATTTATCCGAGGTCCTAAATAAGCTTCTTCTATAAGAGCTGGCTATGGTGGCTTACACTTCATCAACCTGTCATTTTTACACACTCAAAATCTTCCCAATGAGCCTCATCTTACAGTAAAAAGCAACATGCTAAACGTCCAAGACATTGTGGCCCACCACGTTCCGAATGTATTATGGTATATGCTTAGGAAGATCAATACTTGGTGTGAATAGGGAAGATCCCCTCTCCTACATAGTAGAAATTACCTTAAGATAATTGGTGCCTAAATAGGTCTTCTTTATGAATTACCAAAATGTTCATCGAGAATTGTCATAATTATCTGATGAACCTTTCTAAAAGCAATGGCATCTATGACAACAATGTAAATTATCAGTGAGAAGACAAATGTTATGCCAGTCATTAAGTCTGTATGGCTGTGCTCTTGGTCAGACAGAGTAAAATTCAATATACTGTAATACACTAAAACCTCTCTCATAAAGAGTTGGTGAATTTTGTGCCTATGCTGAGAGTCAACTGTTTAAACAGTGGACACTTCTCCGTATTTTTTCTGAACATTGTTACATTCCTGCTGAAGTATTCTGCAATTCAAGCCAGCCATCATTAGTCACAGCAAAACCCGTATTAATTATGCAAAAAGCACAAAGCTTTTCTATATTGACTGACATGTACCTATGTTAAAAACTCTTTACAGGTTAAAAAAGCCTTGGCAGTTATATTGTGACGTAATAATAATAATATAAAAAAAACTGTGTTGAAGTAGTACTACAGGAATTAAAAGGATTACTGTAAAACAGGTAATATGTTCAGTGTTTTTGTATTTTTTGGTATAATGCTGACACTGCCTTTCTTTGTGTCTCAATCCCCCAGCACAGTTCATTGATGACATCTGAAAACCTGACAAGTGTGGACTGATCAGCTCCTCTATACCGAACAGCCAAGGGTCTGCTGAGAGTTGAGGGGCACCTCCTCTACCTGGTCCCTCCCATTTCCTGCCTGAGTTGGTCCCTGTGAACGTTCAAAACTGTTTCTCCAACGGTTTTTTCAAAAACTCAGACTGTTTTCCAAGGCAGACACAGTTGCACGCCCCTCGCGGGCAGAAGCGATGGGGAGTGTGCGAGCCAGCCGCTATAGCATAGTGTCGTCAGAGGAGGACGGAATGAAGCTAGCCACCGTGGCCGTACCCAATGGCCACGGTAATGGCAAGACGAGGGTGCATACTCAGCAGCAGGCTAAGAGCCGCCTTGTCAGGAAGGATGGCCACTGCAACGTGCAGTTTGTCAACGTCAGTGAAAAGGGCCAGCGCTTCCTGGCCGATATTTTCACCACCTGTGTGGACATCCGTTGGCGGTGGATGCTCGTCATCTTCTGCCTGACCTTCTTAATGTCGTGGCTGTTCTTTGGCTGTATCTTCTGGTTAGTGGCCTTCCTTTATGGGGATATTGGAAGCACCAAGGCAAAATGCATCACAAATGTCAATAACTTCCTAGGAGCCTTTCTCTTTTCTGTTGAAACGCAGACCACTATCGGCTATGGCTACCGTGTTGTGACAGATGAATGTCCAGTTGGTGTCTTTATGGTGGTGTTACAGAGCATTGTGGCCTGCATCCTTGAAGCCTTCATCATTGGGGCAGTCATGGCTAAAATGGCCAAGCCTAAAAAACGGAATGAGACGCTGGTGTTTAGCCACAATGCCACTGTGGCCATGCGGGACAACAAGCTGTGCTTAATGTGGCGCGTTGGCAACCTCCGTAGGAGTCACCTGGTGGAGTCCCATGTAAGAGCCCAGCTCCTCAAGTCCCGTGTCACACCAGAGGGGGAATTCATCCCCCTGGACAAAAAGGACATTGACGTAGGCTATGACACTGGAATTGACCGCATATTCCTGGTTTCCCCCGTCACCATCATTCACGAGATCGATGAGGAAAGCCCCTTCTATGATATGAGCAAACAGGAGTTTGAGAACTCACACTTTGAGATCGTGGTCATCCTGGAGGGCATGGTAGAGGCCACGGCCATGACGACCCAGTGTCGTAGCTCCTATCTGTCAGGAGAGATCCTCTGGGGTCACCGCTTTGAGCCAGTCCTGTTTGAGGAGAAGAACTACTATAAAGTGGACTATTCACGTTTCCACAAAACCTATGAAGTTCCCAGCACCCCTCTGTGCAGTGCTAGAGAGTTGGACGAGAAGAAATCTATCATGTCTGGCTCCAACTCCTTCTGCTATGAGAACGAGGTGGTGCTTGGAAACAAAGACAATTCCGAGCAGGGAAGTGAGGGCAACGTGGGCCCTGAGAGCACAAACATGGGCACAGTCTCAGACTCAGACTCTGAACACAACCAAGCCACAGTGCCCCTAGAACCACGGCCGCTGAGGCGGGAGTCTGAGATATGACTCTTCAACCAAGTCGGCTGGGAGGAGCACTGCAGAAACCTGTTGTTTGAAAAGGCACATTGAGCTGGATACAGTTCAGCCCAGAGATGGTGACTGTTTTCACACTGATGGTACTGTTGTGAGAGGTGTTCAGCAAGGACCGAAACATGAGTGTTAAAAAATGAGATGAAGACAACCAAAACAAAACTGCGCACTGGCACAAAACTCTGACATTTGTGCATAGACAGACAAGTTTGCCTGTGAGGGGTGTTAAAAAAAAAAAAGATGCAATACAGTTCTATTTATTATTACAACAGTTTATAGATCTGTGTGACAAAGGGGGAAGGTATAGGGAAATGTTGGTATGGTTTTCAAAACTTGAAATACCAAGCATGTCTCTGTGTTCAACTTTCCAACTAGAAAAATTAGATTAGGTTGGTTAGTGAGATTTTCGTTCCACTTATCTGCCTTTATGGTCTTTATTTGCTGCTATAGAAATTACGGTATTTTTGGGGGGGGCACAGAATTCAGTTTGGATAATAGAGCATTTTTTTAGGTCAATGCACTTAAATGGTCAATTATATATAAATATAATTGCATCACTTCGATTTCTCAACAAATGAACTATTTTTTTTTTTTGCAGTTTTACACATAAAATTGGTCTTGAATGATGGCCCTGCAGTTGGTTGAGTATCTCCCTGGACCATGTGGGAGAATCCTAAAAACCAAGACATAAACGTTAAGCTGGACATGCCGTGCCATGCCACATCAAATCTTCAAGATCCCCTGAGTGACATACAAAATGATTGAACCTGTAAACTTCTGCTGCTGGGGCTGAAACCTTAGCTTCTCCATTTCTCTTTTTGCCCGTGCTGAATGGACACAGTCAGATCACTTTTAATGAGCCGTGCAATACAGTGGTTTGCTATCAGACACTTGCAAGATGACCACAAAAGATGCAACATGTTTGCCGGCTAAGCTGCTGCACTTTCATTCCCAGCTGAGACGCACCAAAAGTGCCCTGTCAGCGAGCTGGCCTCGCGACAGTGCAGTGAATATGCCTCATGCAGCATGTTGTGTGTTGCTTTGAGCCCGTGAATTTTTTTCCCCACAAGCCGCTTTTAAAATACTCATTAGACAACAGCTGGCACCACTGGAAACTGGGAGGAGAGTACACAAGCGTGTGTACTGAATATGCCGGCCAATCTTCTGCTGTGTCAGGGCCTGCAACTTGCATGGGCAATCTAAAAACAAACTAGAAAAACTCCCAGAGGAATATTTTGTAAAATTTGGAAGGATTAAGACAATATATGAACATGGTATGTGATATTAGCATGAAGGCGGAAGTTAGCCCTCCAGACCTGGATGTAACCCTTAAGTGAATAGCAAAAAAAAAAAAGCCTGTTTTTTTAGAAGGGTCAGAGGTCATTAGTGTCAGAATGAACCACACTTTTTCTGCAGACTTCCTGGGTTGTAAACAAATGAGTAAACGAATGTTTAACAAAGTGCTGCTATGTTGCATATTAAGTGTTTTTTTTATTATTTTGGGGGATGTTGAAACTGAAGAGTATTACTGTTAAAAAATAACAATTCTAAATAAATAAAGGTTAAGACAGTTAGAAATAAACAGAAATAAAGCACAATGTTTGTGAGTTTAGCAAACCAAAATGGCTCAGCTATTTTACAAGTAAATTATCCATCCTTGTATCTCTTTGTCCTATTTGGGGTCATGGGTGCTTGGAGCCTATCCCAGAAGTTAGGGGCATGAGGCAAAGAATAACCCAGGAAGGGACACCAACCCATCACAGGGCACATATACATTCATACCCACAGACAGCTTGGCAACTCCAAATCACCTTAGTATGTTGTTGGATTGTGGGCAGGGGGGGAACCAGAGTACCCAGAGGAAATCCCATGACAAAGGGAGAACATGCAAACTCCACACACATGGAACCAGGGTGGAGACTTGAACCCTAGTCCTTAAAGGTGTGAGGTAATACTGCTACCCACTGAGCCACCACACTGCCCCAGGTAAATTACTCCTTTTTCAAATATTTTCATAACTGAAGCAGAATGTAAACAAGACAATTTGCAGGTAACACATATTCAGACCCTTACTTTTTTTGTAAAGCCTTAATCTTCATTTATATGAACTGTTACCCACCAAATGATTTTGTTTTCAGCATTAAGGGCATCTTGGGTGATATTCTGGAGAAAAGCCTAGAAATTGCTACTTTACACAAGCCATCCTCATAGATTGAAAGTCCCAGGTCTCACTTGTCAAGGTGGAAATTGCAGTTTTACTAATCATTCCCCCAAGTTAAACACACAAACTCACACCTGAAGACATATGTCTTTTTTTCTGTAGTTCCAGTCCATTGTTGTAGACACCCTGGCATCAGATGTTAGGATATGATTTTAAGTATATTTAGGTTTTTTTTCTTTCTCATTAGCAAAAAAAGAACCAAAAGTACTGTAACTGCTCCATTTTAAGGCTCTCTGTAATCTCTTTGGGTTTCGTGCTGTGACACATTGCAGTATTGGTCGCTAACATGATTCCCTGGTTTTGTATCAATGACTGAAAGCCTTTTGGTAGCACTTTTTGTAAATATCCCCCCGTCCCTGTGGCAGCCTTTTTGTATCACAGTCTTCCTATTGTACTGCAAAAACAACAGAATGTACAGATTTTTATATTATTAATATTGTTATTATTATTATTATTAATAATTATTATTATTGTATGACCTATTTTATTTTTTTCAATAAAACAATAATTATTTTAAAAAATGGCATTGGTGTTCTTTGAGAGCTATGTATATCAAGCCCAGACACATGTACCAATGTATCTGTGAGAAACCCTTGGCAGTGTATCAGGGATAATAAACTGGTTAAGAAAGTGAACAACTGGTCACAGTGTTGCAGGTAAAGGTGCTAGGTGGGGGCCTTTTTCTGCAACAATCACTTTGGATGAAAGTGATGTAGAAGCATCTTGTAAATATCTACAGTGACTTGCAGACAGGTGTGCGTCAAGATCTGCCAGCAGTATCTCTCCATTTCTGTTAGTCACAGGTCCTTCTGTTTTGCGCCCTATTTCTCCATCTCTGCTCATGCAACAAACATCCAGAGACACAATGACTAAACATATGTTTAATGTTTGCATTTATAGCATTTGAAACATTAAACTTGAATTTACAAAAATATATAATTATATACCCCTTGCTGCAGCACTGTTCATTTAGAGACAAGAAATAAGAAATAAGACAAGATTGCCTTTAAATGTCACTGCAAAAATAATTAGTATTTCTTACAAAATCAATGGCACTGGGCCTTCTGTTAAAATTAAGCCCAAAACAATTACATAAATCCCCGTGGAATCTCAGCCACCAGTTAGTGATTGTGTGATTACATGCTGAATATTTCTGACAGCTACTGTAACTTCCATGTTTATTTAAATACATTACAATGACCACAAAGCAAGAAAACGTGCACATAATTCAACCCCCATTGAGTACTGAGGAACACCATGAGAAGGTTTTTCAGAGGGATGAGTGGCCCAGGGATTCAAAAAGGATCCAAGCAGCAAACAGCCCTCCCATGAGGGTAAGTCATGGAACACAGATGTTGTGCACACCCTCTGCCTACCCAGGGATCCAACAGGTCTAGAAGAACATACTCGAGGGCAACCCAATGGGGACTATTCGGCCATCAGCTTCGAGAACCATGAACCATAGAGTCTGTAATGACTGCTCACATTATCTAAAGTTTATTGGCAAAAAATGAAAAAAAAACTACTTATATTTCAGGCCCGATCAGCTGAGTTTACATACAGTTGAGTGCCAATCCTGACAATAAACAATCCAGCCACCTTTAAAATTTAGCAAGCGTTTTTATACTTTTGTTGCTAATGGCACCAGTCAGGGTGAAATCTGGCCTTTAGCAAAAGAGCTTTTTCTCTGGCTTAATCAAATACTGAGTAGTACGTTACAGATCCTTCAACAAAGATTATTAACCATTATTAATTACTATTACTACTTATTACAAATAATAATAATGATGAATGCAAAAGTAAGGAAAAAGGGAAGGAGAATGCTGAAGGAACATTACCATTATTTGCAATTATATCAGTGTCATTCTCAAAATATTTTTTGGAAATATTGGTATTTCGCTATCATTAAAATATGAATAAAAGACAAAGCTGGCAAATAAAAATAAAGTATTAATTGAGATATTAAGGTGGTGTTTAACACTGCATCAGCTACAACATGCTGATAAACACTTGAGTCTGTTCCTGCGTGAGAGATTCCCTGTACCGCCTTAAAAAACAGAATTGATGGTAAGTAACGTGTGGGAAAGTAAGGAGCAAAAAGCCGACCTTTTCCGGTCACACCATTTAATATTAGGTTCATTTATTGAATGATTAACTTTTCAGTTGTGACCAGGAAAGGCACATTCAGGCACTACTTCCTGTTAAAAAGGAATTTCATCATTGTTAGTGCTTGCAGTTGTTGACGAGATGTACAGTAACTCAAGATTGTTCACTCCTACTCTTAGTCCATGAAACCAACATGAGTTCTGAAAGACAAATATTCAACAAGAAGTTGCATCCAACTTACAATAAACACTGATCAAGTGTGAGAGATAACCAAACCAAAGTATTCTTCCTATTGGTTCATTTTACATTTTACTTCCTTTCTCAGAAATTGCAAAACAAATCCCTTCTGGATATCGTTGATTGACTCATTGGCCTGAACATTAACCCCTCTTTGTTCACCTGGAAATGTAGTCAGTGAAAAAAATGACTAATGCTATAAAACTATGGTGTGATTCCCCACTCCCTTTCCCATCAAGCCTGATATAGACAGGCTGAGTTTGTCCCCAACCCCCCCCCCCCCCAAAAGAAATACTACCATCTACTGCCATTGGAAAAATAGAGTACTGAAAAACTACGTGTTGACTCCCCTGTTGCAATCTAAGGTTAGCACAAATGCAATTTGTGGCTGTGAGACCTTTCGTGGAATATTTACAGTTTATGTTCCCCTGCCACAACTATGGTTATCCATTTAGCTCACAGATACTCTGTCCACAGAAAACTTACCAGATGGCACCCATGGGCCAACATATCTCCCTGTTAAACATTCTTCACATAACGCTTTTGGAGAACAGTACCTTAATGTCACTGAAATGGTTCTATGGGTTCTATATATGGCCCAAAACATTTAGTCTCTGGAAGAGTACTCCCAATGCACATATAAATGGTCCTGCTTAAAGTAATATTCTATAGTCAAATGCTAACCTGCAGACAATGTTCTCCAAATGGCTGGGACTACTGGCTGTGGATCCACGGTGCAGTGGTTTTGCTACATGGCTTCCATCAAGAGCTGTGGTAGAGATGGGCGATCCACGTTTTTTCAGTTCCGATCCGATTTCGATACACAACTGCCGATTCCGATACAAGAGCTCTTTTTACTTTGTTATACTTTACATATTATTTTTTTTAAGCTAGTAAATACAGATGGAAAAAATGTATGACAAAAAATATTTAATTAGCCTACTACAAACATACATAACGTACTGTTCCACCTCATTTGTTTTAAGCGTTTTTGAGGCATTTGCAGTTCAATATGAATATCTTCAAAGCAAATATACACAAGTGGCGAATGCTTAAAATTTTAACAGTTTTTCTCCCATTGGCATCAGCGCAGTTACACTTTTGTTGCGATGGCAGCCCCTCTTGTATCTCAAGCAACGAGTTCGCAAAACAGTCCAATTAAGTTAGCGACTCCCAAATCATCCATTGCTTTGTTTTGTCTCGCAGTTGCGTGCGCTTTGTTAAATGGGATTTTCCATTAAACGCTATTCCCACCTCAAAACCTTATTTTACATAGATTGCAAAACGCTGTGCTTCCGATTTCTGTTAAAAGCCTAAAATACTCCCAGATCGTCACGTCTTATCTTACGCTCCTCGTACTGCGAAGGGTATGCGCATGACCTCACAGCAGGCGGAAGTCACTGTACTCACACCCACTGAGTAGCAAAAAAGACTTAGGGGCAGTGATAGCGTTCGATTTGAATTCCGCAAAAACACACATGTAAAATGGGAAAGAGCTGTCGTGCGATTGATTGCCAAAAA